TGGAATATCGGTCATATTTATTCTGATATATAAAAATTTTATTTATAATTGCATATAATCCCCTAGGCCTTTGTTTCTTTATAGTTCATATCAGTTCCTTATTCTGAGAAATAATAAAATTAGCACACTTCATGTTCCCTGACCATGTGTTTTTAGTTAATAAGGCTATCATTTTTAAAGTTTACTCTTGTACAATTAATTATGCCAATTTTCTAATAGGCAGTTTTAATAATAACTACTGACTATTATTTAGTAAGGCAATCAGCAAAACTACTCCACTGCCCACCTTCTTTTGAAGTTCCTCAAAATATTTATTAGTTGTAACACTTTTATGTTGTCAGAAAACAAGACTCATATTATGATTCATTGTGCTAATCTCCAAATTTGCACTAGTGTTACTTATAGAGTGAAACATATTCAATATGTCCTACATTTTGTTGTAATTTTCCTAGTTATCTTTTAACTAAGGTAAGTTTATCTTACAGAAATTTATTCAAAAAGTTCTCGTAATTATGCTTCCTTAGTTTTTGCATATTTCAGTTTTATACACAAGCTTTGTATTTACTGGAGAGTTTGCATAGAAAATTCTTCATTTATACTTTCTTATTTGAAGTTTAAGTCTTGCATCATTATACTTTGACACAGCATTTTGCTATAGCCAAATTTGAGACCCACCTAACTTTTCAGTTCAGTTGCTCAGTCATGTCCAACTCTTTGTGACCCCATGGACTGCAGTGTACCAGGCTTCCCTGTCCATCACCCACTCCCGGAGCCTACTCAAACTCATATCCATCGAGTCATGATGCCATCCAACTATCTCATCCTCTATCATCCCCTTCTCCTTCCACCTTCAATCTTTCTCAGCATCAGGGTCTTTTCGAATGAGTCCGTTCTTCACATCAGGTTGCCATGTACTGGAGTTTCAGCTTCAGCATCAGTCCTTCCAATGAATATTCAGGACTGATTTCCTTTAGGATGGACTGGTTGGATCTCCTTGCAGTCCAAGGGACTCTCAAGAGTCTTCTCCAACACCACAGTTCAAAAGCATCAATTCTTCAGTGCTCAGCTTTCTTATAGTCCAACTCTCACATCCATACATGACTACTGGAAAAACCATAGCTTTGACTAGACAGACCTTTGTTGACAAAGTAATGTCTCTGCTTTTTAATACGCTGTCTAGGTTGGTCATAACTTTCCTTCCAAGGAGTAAGCATCTTTTAATTTCATGGCTACAATCACCACCTGCAGTGATTTTGGAGCCCCAAAAAATAAACTCAGCAAGTGGACATCATTGTCAGGTTCTAAAATGAGCAACAATGCTTCTAGCGTTTACACATTAAGTATGATACTGGATTTTGGATTAAAATACATATATTTTATCATGTTAAAATAACTACCTAGTCACAATTAGAGATTTTTCTATTTTAAAGTATAAACTTTAAATTTTGTTGCCAATCATGTGCTTTTTCCTCCTTAAATGTAATGTTAACAGATTTCCTTTTATAGACCATTTCTATACTCCTGAAATAAACTCCCTTAATCAGGATATTTTATTTTTTAATGTGTGCTAAATTCTGTTAACATTTAATTTAGGACTTTGTGTAGCTATTTGCATGAATATGACTATGAATGATCTAAAGTTTCTTTCTAATTGTAACCATTATTAAGTTTTGACATTAACATCATGTTCACATCATTTTAAAACTTGATACACTTCCTTTTCATATTCCCTGAAATAGTTTAAATACCATTGACATTAGGTTTTAAAGGGTTTAGTAGAATTTTCTTGTGAAATCATTAGGACCTAGTGTTTTTGTCAATGGGAGTATATATTTCTCTGCCCTCCTAGCCAATGCCATCTTAATCTGTCTGTCTTTATTTTCTTTATATAAAATATAGAGAACCTTTTAGTAAATTATCTCTGTCTAGAAATTTAACCATTTTATTCAATTTGTCAAATTATTCATCTGGAGTTTAGAATGCAAACTCTCTTACAAGATAAATTTCCAGCATTTTGAGGTATTTTTCCTATTATCCTTTCTTACATTATGTATTTCTTTCTGATCTCTACATTTTTTTGTAATCTTATTTTAGTTTTTCTAAGGGAAACGTACTATTCATCTTTTATTTCATTTCTTTCTGCCTTTATGTTTCTTAGTTATATCATTTTGCTTTGCATAGATGGATTTTGTTGTTTTCTTCTAGCTTCCTAACTACTCAAAGTAGTAAATGCATAATTTTTCTTCTGGAAGTTATTTATCCGTTATCATAGGTACTGAAACAGGCTGTATTTTTACTATTATATTTATTTTCTATATTAATCTTAGTTTGGATTTCCCTTTTGACATGACTTTGAGAGAAAGAGGTTTTAATTTGTTATTTTCAATTTTATGCCCTTAATAATTTGTAGTTTTACAGTATTATGATTAGTGCAAATTTTCCTTGTCATACTGCAGATGTTCCATTTCTATTAACATCCCATGGTCACTGGAGAAGATGTACTCTCTGGTTTAAGGAAACGGTTTTATACATCAATTAGGTTCATCTTTTTAGTACTATTAACCAGGTCTTAGAGATTTACACATTTTTGGCCACTTAGTCTGTTAGGCACTATGGAAGAAAATTAAAGTTCTTCATTCTAAATTGCTTATTTTTTCCTGTTTTATGAATAGTACATAGATATATTTCATTGTTAGACCTTTGCTATGAATGCTTCAATCCTTTTAAAGTGTTATTTTATCTTGTTTAACATTATAGATTGCTCTTTTTGTTTCATTTAAGTTAATTTAACTTAAAGTCAGATGCTTCATATCACCTGGATCATGATTGTAGCTTACTTTTAATTTGCATTTGAAATTGTTGTTCAGTTGCTAAGTTGTGTCCGATTCTTTGCAAGCCCATAAACTGCAGCATGCCAGACGTCCCTGTATTTCACTATCTCCTGGAGTTTACTCCAACTTATATCCTTTGAGTCTGTGATGCCGTCTAACCATTTTATCCTCTGTCACACCCTTCTCCTCCTGCCCTCAGTCTTTCCCAACATCAGGGTCTTTTCCAATGAGTTGACTCTTCACATCAGGTGACCAAAGTATTGAAGTTTCAGTTTCAGCAACAGCCTTTCCAATAAATATTCAGGGTTGATTTCCTTTAGGATTGACTGGTTTGATTTCCTTGCTGTCCAAGGGACTCTCAAGAGTCTGCTCAAGCACCATAATTTTAAAGTATCAATTCTTCAGCACTCAGCCTTCTTTATGGTCCAATTTTCACATTCATACGTGACCACTGGAAAAACCACAGCTTTGACTGTACAGACTTTTGTCGACAAAGTGATGCCTCTGCATTTTCAGAGACTGCAGTTACACAAATGTAGAATCCCTTTTGCCATTCCTCTCTAGTTATAATGCTGTGTCTAACCCTCATCTATTATTTAGAATTGCACTCATTTTCGTGACCTTTCTTCTTTCTTCCTCTGTGTTCATTATCATGTTCTCCATGAGGCATGCCCTTCATTGTGCTTCTTACAATGTTGTCTTCATTTCTGTGATGGCTGTTTGTCAGTTCCTACTTCTCTCCTGAGATCTGACCCCTCATGTTTTGTCTTCTCTTACTCACTGGTCATCTCTTTCCCAAGTTCTTATATTCTTGTTGAATTCTTTGTTTGTAGAGGTGATGGCATCATGTGGCTTCTTTTTCTTTTTTTCAAATGTAGTCAAATGTTTGGTCACAATTTTATTCTATCTGGTGGAAACATTTTTCTGGTAAATATTCACCATTTGTTAGAAAATTCTGATGCACTTTTGCTCCTTTTATTCTTAGAGTAACTTTGCATTGATTCAGTACTTGCTCATCTTTTCCTTAGTCATCACTGGATCCCTGGGCCAGCCATTTGCAGGGAATGACTTTATGGGAGGGAGAAGTACCCTTTATGGTAACAGAGAGGCTAGCAGGTATTTACCGCACAATCTATGACACCACAGAGAAGCAGCACCCTGCAAGAACGGCTTTTGGTTCAGCTCTTCATGAAGCTCTCATCCTTGGATTCCCTCTACCAAACCGGTTTTGTGAGTGCCTATGCACTCACAATTCACCCACATCTCCAATTTACCCAGAGAACTGGGTGACTGCAACCTTCCCTTCAGGAAGCACTGGTGCTTTCCAACGTCGCTGCCTCCTCACTCTTCCCCACACCTCTCTCTTCACGTCCTGTATCACTTCTCTCTGCTCTCAGCTACTTTGTTGAGCCTTAACACATATTTTGGGAACTGTAAATTATACATGTCTCGTAATTTTACCAAAAATAATCTCCAGGGCTTTACGTCTTTAACTTTGCTTTTGTCATATTGGTTATTTCCAGAATGATACGAGTAAATGGGGCTTCCCAGGTGGCTCAGTGGTAAAGAATCTGCCTGTCAATGCAGGAGATGCAGGTTTGGTCCCTGGGCTGAGAAGATCCCCTGGGGGAGGTCATGGCAACCCACTGCAGTATTCTTGCCTGGAGAATCCCATGGACAGAGGAGCTTGGAGGATTACAGTCCACAGGGTCGCAAAGAGTCAGACACGACTGAGTGACTTGCACTTTCACTATTTCATCCCTAGAGCAGTTGTGGCGGGTGTGTGTGTGTGGTCATGATGATGAAATGACCCTTCCCACTCAGGTTATAACAGCTATCCCCTTACAGTGACCTTTGCCAAGGGCCCAAGGGAAAGAATAAATTATAATTGTATAGAAGACAAAGCAGGACAGTACATGAAACCAGTACCTTACTTGGGAAGCAAGCAAAAGTCTTGTGTCCCTCCACTGCGGGGTGAAGTTTTCCAGAGATAGAAACAAAAATAAAGCTAAGCGCTGAGTGCCACCTAGTGGAGAGATATGCCACTGCAACAGGATGGATCCTTAACGTGAGAAGCTAGGTGAAGACTGGACAGGACCCTCTGCTCCCGTCCCTGCCCCCGTCTCATCTGAGATCTCATGCCACTTTCCCAGCACATGAGGAGTTGGGGGACGTTCCCTGAGCCCTCACTCTCTGAGAATGCTGGCTATGAGTAGGGCAGTGATGTGAGGGAGCGGGTTCCAGAGAGGGATGGGGTGATGACATTCACTGGTACAGTATAAACATCCGTACATACACACGTCCAATCCCAAATGACACTTTTCACCATCTCCTGCGAAGGGGGAGGCTTTACACTTCTCCCTTCTTATGACCTCATTGCCTGCAGGAATGCCCTTTGCCCTTGCCGCCGTTCATTGTAAATGAGCTTTGTAAATCCTGGTGTGGGTGGCCGAAATTCCAAGGTGGGGAGAATCCAGCGTGCTCAGTCCTGGAAACTTTCTAAGGATCTCCCTGGAAAAGTTGTATGAGTCATGCATTTTGCTTTCTATCCTAGCCTGTGACGGGGACTTTAATTTGTCTTGAGCGTCTGCCTTGCTCGGCAAGCCTGCCAGAAGGGGCGGCGCTGGACTCCTGAGTTCAACCTTCAAAGCGTTTCCATCTAGCAGCTGCCGCTTTGGCCGAGCTCCCCCGGTGAGAGAATCTGGAAGGCAGCATTGATCTTCCCGACAGAGCGGCCCCCTCCGAGGCTGTTTGTTTCCAAGCTGGTACTGCAGCTGGGAGAGAGAGGACTTAAGAGCCTGGCCCTGCCTCTGCAAAGAGACAGTTTTCTCGCCATACTGACCAAACTGAGGTCACTAACGGGGCAGGAGTGGGGAGGCTCCATGTCCTGAGGCCAGACGGAGGTCTCAGCAGAAGCCCGGCTGCGTGTTGTTCAGGCTGAAGGCTCCCTTGGCTGCCTTCCATCTGCACAGCTAGACAATCACGTGTCTGTGTCAAGTGCGACATCCGAGTCAGACAGACCCGGGGGGTCCTAGCTCAGCCACTCACCAGCCCTTTGTTCATTTAACCTCTCCGGGTTTCATCGTTTTTATCCATCCCGTGGGGATAATATTGCTTTCCTCATGGGATTATTATAAGAACTAAAAAATGCAAGTATCCAGCACAACTAGGCTCAGACTGAATTCCCTTGACTGTTGTTATCTCTGAAAAATGAGATGATAGCTATCTGTATAGGTGTGTTTCAAAAAAAGAAATTCTTTTGCACATTCATTACAATGGTGACAGCATATTTCTTTGGATATCAGAACATTTTAAAAAATACAATTACTTTTATTTGTATTATTTAAAATAATCAGTACCTACTTGCGATGTTTCACAATATTTTCTTTCATTCTTTCAAAGATAAAATCTCTGTCAAGCATTAACATCACCAGATATTCACAAACTGAAAAGTATTTTTTCAATTCATTTTATGTATGTTTCATCCAGGTAATACTCCACAGGTAAATACATTTTTGCAATTTGTATATTCCACATTTTCTGCAAAGCAGGCTTTATTCCCTCAGTGGTAAAGAATCCACCTGCCAATACAGGAGATGCAAGAGACACGGGTTTGATCCCTGTGTCGGGAAGATTCCCTGGAAGATCCCCACTCCAGTATTCTTGCCTAGAAAATTCCATGGGCAGAGGAGCCTGACGGGCTGTGGTCCACGAGGCCACAGAGAGCCGGACAAGACTGAACAACTGGGCATACACAANATTCCCTGGAAGATCCCCACTCCAGTATTCTTGCCTAGAAAATTCCATGGGCAGAGGAGCCTGACGGGCTGTGGTCCACGAGGCCACAGAGAGCCAGACAAGACTGAACAACTGGGCACACACAATGGAAACATTCATCAAGCGGTTGAATTGTCTATCAGTGGTCTGTTTTTCATGTATTTTCCAAATTTATTCTCAGCCAATGATCAGACTTCCCTGTCTGTGAATTCACCACCACGGTGATACAGAACAGACCCATCACCCCCCAAATTCCCTCCTGCCAACTTTCTGTTGCCTTCCTCACTCTCAAGCCTTTGGCAACCACTGGTCTATACTCCAGCCCTGTAATTTTGCCTTTTCTAGAATCCCACATCAATAGAGTCATAGGTTCTGAATCCTTCGGGGTATGGCTTCTTTCACCTAACCTTTGCGCTCCATGCATGCAGTGACACGCATTCATAGTTCATTCCTTCCCACTGCTCAGCAGTCATCCAAGATGACATCTAAGGTAGAACCCCTCAGTCCTCCTGCACCTTCTTTCCTAGCCTGATATAGTAATGCAAACTGTCTATCAGAATCCAGAAAAGATTTATTTACAGGCAGGCCATGCTAGAAACAAAAGAATGGTCCTCATCCCACTGACTGGCTAGCATTAAGCCCAGCTGTATCACGCAAGTAAGAACACCAGGCTGTTTGTCACGTGTAAAGAGATGAACACAGTAGTCAAAAATTAACATCAGGGTTTGGGAGAAAGATCATTTGAGTGTCATGGGCGTGTTCCGGAAGAAGTGAGCTTGAGGTGAGCTCAGAAGTAGGAAGGAGCTGAGAAAGTGGAAAGGACTCCGGAGTGAACAGTATGAGCCAAGACTGGAGAACAAGTCAGGAACTCCTGCTTGGGCAAGATGGGGTTTGGAAGCTCAGGAAGGAAGAAAGTTAGTGCGGCCAGAACACACTTAGTAAGTGGAGACTGGTACTAAGTGAAAAGAGGGAAGTGACCAGAGACCAGATTAACAGGGCCACCGGGCTACTGCAAAGCCATCAGCGTTACTCTGGGTGTGATGGGAACTGTGTCACAAGCATTAATAGGGTCGTTCTGACTCTTCTGCCATAACATTCTCTCGGCTCGGGTGCAGAAGCAGGGGACCAGGTAGGAGGCTTTCAGGAACAGTCCAGGTGATAAATGACAATGACTTTTGCCACGACGGTAGAGGTGGTGAAAGGTAGTCAGGGTCTGGACATATTTGGAAGATAGAGCTAACAGAACTTGCCGAAATAAGCTACCAGAGGATGGAACTGTCATTCACTGAGATGGGAAGACAGCAAGAAGAGCAAGTCTGGAAACAAAACCAGCAATCTGGTTTTGGATGTGTTAGGAGGATGAGGCCCTGCATGGCCCTCGTGGGGATGTTGCTCCAACATCAGAGCGTCAGATGTATGAATCGGTGGGCAGGTTGGGGGCCGGGAAGGTTAGGGTGTCTTTCATGTCTAGATGAGTAGACAGAGGTACACAGGTCTAAGAGGACAGGGAATGATGGGGGTGAGGCCACAAGGAAGTCCCACCATGGTCCAGGTGCAAAAAAATTGGAGGTCTGGGTGTGGAGTTCAAAGAAGAGAGACTCTTCGAGGTTGTTTAAAGGATGACTCTGTGGCCTTGGGGATGAAGACAAATATCCCCCATTAAAAACTTTGGATGACTTCACGACTGCTGTTACCATACTAGAAATAATGATTAATGGACCTTGTTTAAGTTTTACTGCAGAAATATTTTTTACAAGTGATGAAGGCACACTCTTTATATCATCCAGAAGGAATGAGTTCAATATTTTTGGCCTCAGCAGAAAGAACCCCAAACTTCTGTGATATTTTATCATCCAGTGTCAGTGTCTACTCAATTCCAGTGCTGAAAACGCTCCAACTCCTCCTGCTTTCCCCAGAAACATCTTATCTTGAACAGTCAAAATCTGTGAACAGACTTGAAGTGGGCACCGTGTGGAGCTGGAATAACGTCTAATACTGAGCTCACTCTCCTGCTTTGAGGCAAATAATTGAATCTTCCAGCCTTGATAATGACTCACAAGGCTTCATGGTCACCATCCTTAATATCACTGGTCCTTGTCCCCTGGAAAGAGACATTTTTGTCTGAAATGCATTACCCCACGGAGCATAGAATTTGTACTCCCTGTTGTGGGCTGTCTGTTTATATCTTTAAAAATTCCCTTTTCTTAATACAAGTTAATTCTGTTTTCGAATAGTTCCCTGAGGTGATGCATATTCTTTCCCCTAAAGGAAGACCTTCCTTTAGTTCTGCATCTCAGGAATGGTCCGCTAAGCATCTGGTCACCACATCCGAACACTGAGAACCGTCTTCTGCCTCCCCGCAAGTGTCCCCTCGTTCTCTCTCACCAGTGACTCTCTGGTTCACCCCCTTCTTCCCAGCCGCCTTGCCCCATCTTTGCTGAGCCTTTCCCACCAGCACTTGTCCCTCGATTCTCATCTCTTGTCCTCTAATCCCGTTTCCGCCACCACATCACAGTGCTCTCACCAAAGCATGCGGTCTTGCTTCTATTGGCAGGAATTTCCTGTTGCTTTAAGGACAGGTCCCTACCCCTCAGTCTGGCATGCCTGCAACCTCCTGGTGTGATCCAGTTTTCTTCTCTAACCCTTTCTCCTGCTAGAATCCCTGTATGCTTCAGAGCTCCCAGCAGAACCCAGCCCGGTTTCGTAAGCAGCCTCGTTCCCCCTTGCTTCTGTGCCTTTTTTAAAAAATGCTTGTTTTGCTTTGACCACCTTCTTTCCTCTCCACACAGAGGTCTTCATCATCCTTCAAGAACCAACTCAGGCATCAGTTCCTTTGGCTCATCTCCCCAGCTGTGGTCCTCCAACCTCGAGCTGGGCCCTTTTATCCTGCTCACTCCCTAACATCCTCACCTTCCTTGCAGCCAACCCCACTGAACCGTAACTATCGGGCTGGCGCATGTGTGCGTCTGTGTGTGCTGGGAAGGCGCAGGGGCCTCTCAGGTGGCTAGTGCTGAAGCATCTGCCTGCAGTGCAGGAGATGCAGGTTCAAGCCCTGGGTTGGGAAGATCCCCTGGATGCAGAAATGGCACCCCACTCCAGTATCCTTGCCTGGGAAATCCCGTGGGCAGAGGAGACCTTGCAGCCAACCCCACTGAACCGTAACTATCGGGCTGGCGCATGTGTGCGTCTGTGTGTGCTGGGAGGGCGCAGGGGCCTCTCAGGTGGCTAGCGCTGAAGCATCTGCCCGCAGTGCAGGAGACGCAGGTTCAAGCCCTGGGTCGGGAAGATCCCCTGGATGCAGAAATGGCACCCCACTCCAGTATCCTTGCCTGGGAAATCCCGTGGGCAGAGGAGCCGGGTGGGCTGCAGTCCACGGGGTCGCAAAGAGTCAGGCACGACTGAACATGAGCATGATGGAGAGTACGCACGCGCGCACACACACACGCACACACACGCACACACATACACACACACACACACACACACACACAGAGTTTGCTTTATCCCCGCACCTAGCATAGTGCTGACACGAAGTAAACATTCACAATTCTTTTTTATTTCATTTGTGAAGGAATGAACCAAAATTTTTAGATTTAGTGAACTCTGCCAATTTGAGATTGTCAGGAGTTAAGTGAATACAAATGAACTGTGACAAGCTAAATGCATACAAAAATAAAGTTTACCTTTACACTTTTAAGGAAGTCATTCACTTTTTAACCCTCTACAAAAGCCCTTCAGTTAAAGCTTTTCATGTAAGAGCATCTATAGATACAACAAAGCCAGAGTTGTGAGAACTCTGCCCGTTGCCATCAATGGCATAGAAGCTGTTTTTATGGTGTCACTTTGGTCTCTAGGAACAAATCAACTTTAACAGTCTTAGAATATACAACCTGCTTAGAAGTACAGAAGCCTCACAGAGTGAGTGTTTTCCAAAAACCTGAATTTACCCCTGAGGACTAGTGAAGCATGTGGAAAACAAGTGCAGAGGAAATGGAGTCAGAGGGTCTAGTTCACTTTGGTACAGAGCCTATTATACCCACAGGCATAGAAGGAGTTGTCTTTTCAAAGTTCAGATGGGATCTAAGTCATATACACAACAGTATTTAGAGAGACTCTGGGCCCCCAGATGTCTTCCCACCAAAGAACTACAACGCTTGATCTCCATCAACAGAACTATCCCAATTGGATACACTAGCTGAGTATTCCTAGGAGGAGCAGTAAGGTCAGCTTCTACAGCCACGGCATGGATCACTTTCTCCAAGACAAGGAAGCCTCAGAGCACAGAGGGAACTTTGAGCAGAGAAGACACGCTCAGAAAGGCAGCCTGGGCACCCAAGTTACACCCAAGTCTTCCCTCTGCAACCACGTTCATCCCTTTTGCTATTTGTGTGTGTCGTTAGATTGGGGACATTCTCTACAGAAGCCTTTCCGTGCCTGTTAAGCAAAAAGGATGATTTTTTTTTTTTTTTTTTTAGCCACAACTCTTCCATGACGTCAGCAGAGTCCTGGCCAGTCTGGATCTGAATACGTTCTCAAAACTATATGAGTCAAATCTAGCTGAGGACTTCACCAGCCTGGCTGGAGGACGTGTGTCAAATGGCAAATAAAAAGGCTGCGTAATCCCTTTCAAAGGCATGAGTGTTCCTGGAAGTTGCATGAAACTGTCATTCCCCACATGCCCCACCCCCCGCAACAGACAGAGCAAGTCTGCTCTTCAGAAAATGATACTATGCAATGTCCAAGTACCCAGGATTCTGCTGCAATCTCTGGGATTCCCAATAAAGCTGATTTGCACACTGATCTCCAATAATTCGCATGAATAACACATGAATAATGCACATTTCAAACATGTCCTGAATAACAGTGTAAATAGAAAGAGATGGTCTTCCAAGGGAACGGTTCAAACTGCACAGCGAATGGGTTAAACGGATGAAGAAAGCAGGGTGGAGGGTGGATCTCATCAGAGAAATGGAGCGTGAATGAAGGGATGCACTCTGGGGGAACAGACCCCAGGAAGCTGAGGCAGTGGTTTTGTGAAAGATTTTGACAAGAATAAGGTACTGAAAGTGTCAGTGTGAGGACGGATAAAGCCATGATTGAAACAGACAGTTCTAGACAAGGAGGCTCTGGGGGAGAGGGAAGCATGCGGGCAAAGAGTGGAAGGCGTCTGCTAGATCAGAAGGGATTAGAGATGACCCCCAGGTGACTTTTGAATCCTAGGAAAAAACTGCCAGTGGCCTAGCACAGTGGGATTTCTACCGACTGCTTGTAGAAGCAATGAAGCCTGCTGGGTAGCTTGGATTACCGAAACTGGCCCATTAGGTCCTTCTCGATGCACAATCACCACTTCTGGTGCAAGAAATATATGTCGAATCGTCAGAATCACTAATGCCAAGCACCACTCCTCAAGTCCAGGTATTTGCCCTGTCAGTCATCACCGTGGCTTCCCGCAAGTCCACCTGCAGCCCCCGCAAGGGTTCAGCCACTTCTGCCTCAGCACCGACTTGCCATAATGCCACCGGACACTGATCTGGAAGGGCATAAAGAATTGGCAAAAGAAAAATATTAATTTAAAAATGATAAAGCAGAGAGTCCAAGTAGATGAAGTCACTTTTCCTTTTGTTTTCCATATTGGAGGGAAATCACTTTGCCAACAAAGATCTGTATAATCAAAGCTATGGTTTTTCCAGTAGTCATGTACGGACGTGAGAGTTGAACTATAAAGAAAGCTGAGCACCAAAGAACTGATGCTTTCAAACTGTGGTGCTAGAGAAGACTCTTGAGAGTTCCTTGGATTGCAAGGAGATCTAACCAGTCAATCCTAAAGGAAATCAACTCTGAATGTTCATTGAAGGGACTGATGCTGAAGCTGAAACTCCAATACTTTGGCCACCTGATGCAAAGAGCTGACTCATTGGAAAAGATACTGATGCTGGGAAAGATTGAAGGCGGGAGGAGAAGCGGACGACAGAGGATGAGATGGTTGGATGGCATCACCGACTCGATGGACCTGAGTTCGAGCAAGCTCCAGGAGACAGTGGAGGACGGGGAAGCCTGGCCTGCTGCAGTCCATGGGGTCATAAAGAGTCAAACATTACTGAGCAACTGAACAACAGCAAAAATGTTGAGCAGTCATAGGTGATGGTGACCAGACAAAGGACCCAGGGCTGGGCAGCGCGCAGACACGAAGGGCCCCGCGCGGCCGAGCAGTCTCACCGACACACTGGGTTAGACCAGGACCGGGGATGATCCTCAGGCGCCCCAGCCGGGCTCCCCACCCAGGAGCCCAGCAAAGCCCAAAGGGACAAGAGTGTGAGCAAGCACAAGGGCCAGATGTTCCTTCCAGGCAAGGAACAGTAGATGCCAGTGGATGCTAACATAAGCCTCCCAGGAGGCATGCCCCCCACCACCCCACCCCGAAACTCCTAACAAAAGAGTGGGACTCCCTGACACATACCAGAGTCCTGACACAGACTCCAAAAGAAGGTTAGCCACCCTTTCTGATCCGAGCTCCCTGCTCACGGGGTTTCGAGGCTCCTGGAGAAAGGCAGACCCCTCCGGGTGCAGAGCTGGTGGTGGAGGCCAGGCAGAGACGCCACCCTCTGGGAGCTCATGCTGAACCAGGAAGCAAGTGCGTCCACCCCATGCGGTGGGCCAGCACTTTGCTCAGAGATGGGGACAAGGCCTGTTCCCCGAGGTTTCAGAGTGAGTGAGGGAGACAGCAACACACTGAGGCTGGGGGCAGCACTGTCTTAGCAGGGCTACTTGGGGGGACCTTGGTCAGCCAGTCAAGACACAGGAGTTTTAAAGCACAGCTATCAGCCAGAGCTGCGGCACTCACCGAAACCCCTGACTGTGGGTCCTGAGAAACCGTGGCTGTGATTACAGGTATTTGTACATCTCCAGAGATGTTTGGCTCCCTCACTGCGCCAGCCCTTATTCTCAAATGTGAGTGGGTTGGCTTCTTATATTCTGGTGGGGAGAGGTGGTGAAGAAGCGGCAGATGTGTAACCATTATCCTTCCCCCGTTCGGCTCTTTATGACAGAACAGACCAACCGGAAAAGAGCCCTTTCTCTACCTCCAGATGACGACATCCACATCATAGGCCACTGAATTTTTACAGCCCACTTACCTTGTTATGGCTGAGGTCTTAGTCAATTCTGGCTGAGGAGGTGTCTCGCTACTTTTCAGACAAGAGTAAGAGAATTTAATAACAGTCCAAGAACGTATATCAGATGTGAACACTGTTGGGCATAGCGCGAGGTATAGTCGTGAGCAAGACAGGCAGTGGATGACTACTTAGAATTTACGGTCCAGAGGGTGAAGGAAAGCATGGAACAAGCTGTATGAGGACAAGAGCTGTGGAAGGAAAGCACAGATGCGTGGGCAGCATTTTAAAGGGTTGTTGGTGCTGTTCAGTTGCTCAGTCGTGTCCGACTCTTTGCAACCCCATGGACGGCAGCACGCCAGGCTTCCCTGTCTTTCACCATCTCCTGGAGTTTGCTCAGCTCATGTCCACTGAGTCAGTGATGCCATTCAACCATCTCATCCTCTGTCACCCCCTTCTCCTCCTGCCTTCAATCTCTCCCAACATCAGGGTCTTTTCCAGCGTAAAACAGAAATAGTGTCAATCTGTGTTTTGTTGTTCCATTGTTACCAGAAGAAAAAGAACAAAAGAAGGGAGTTGAAAGGGGAGGAAAGGAAGAAGAAAAGAAGGAGAAAATAAAAATAAGCATGAGAGTAAGTGGCAACTGGAGACCTGGGCTTAGGAACAGGGAGGTGATAGGGAGTGGTGAGGACTGTGGTAAACAAGCACTCACCCAGATCTATAGGAAATTCTTTCAGCTAATTGCTTCCAAGTATAACTGCAGGGCCACTGTTTCCAAAGCTTCACTTTTTAAAGTAAAGCAAATAATTCAGATTTTTTTTAGGTGAACTCTCCTGATTTTTAAATGTTGACTCATATAAAAAAATTAAATTCCAACTGGCCAAACCAAACACCTCGGCAGGTGGCACTCAACCTTTAAGGAGCCAGTTTGCTGCCTTGGCCTTTAAACAGAGTCATGGAAGGTTATAGATCTCAGAGTGCAAGGCCAGACAGATCCCATTATTCCAGACCCTGGGATCCTTCTCCAGCATGGCAAACACCTCACAACAATTCCACATTCCTTATAAACCAACGTAGCATTTTACTTCCATGTTTGCCAAGCGGAAGTGCTATCTTTTGAGGACACTGGATTAGGTGACTTCAAAGGTCGCTTCTGAATCTAACTGACAACCCCCAGCTTGAAATTATGAGAATAATAACAGCATAACAATGATGAAGGCAATGATGCATTAAATACTCCACTTCCAGTGAGTTCACCCGTGTTATCTGGTTTAAATTACTCAAAGAGTTCAATCATCTCATTTGTGCAGGAAAAATTATCACTGAATTACACACTATGGGTAAAATATAAGCCGGACCTGCTCACCCTTCCATCCATTTTTTTGGATGCTTGTGCCAGAGATGAAGGACTTGCCTAATTACTGGTGGCATTTTGCTTCACTGGCCAAAAATGTTACCCCCAGGGCAAGCATGTGCAGAATGAGGCAGGCTGTATGAAAAGATCACCCTTTCTATTGTTTCACCAGATTAACTCGGGCTAGCTCTGAAGTGGGCGTAGTTTCTCCAGAAATTGACAGTCTATCCAGAGAGCGAAAGGATCTCCTCCTATTAACAGAAAAGCAAGAGCTAACTCAGGGACAAATTCAGCAGGGAGAGAGATGAGAGGTGGTAGAGGATTTGCTCTTTTTTGTAGCAGAGGTGGATGGAGTTGGGCCCTGAGGGAGGTGAGTCATGTTAGAAAATGCAGGCAGGAAGTCAGAGGGTGCAAATTCAATTCCCCTCTTCGGATTTGCAAGTTTTATCTCCATTTGGCAGCCTGGGATGCCTGTGGGAAAGACAATGAGGAGACTGGAGATGAACCAGGACAAACCAGGGGTCCCTGACTTCTTTTCTGTCCCCATGTGGCCCTGACACATTTTACCTCCTGCCTAAACTGCTGTGGCCCGGGTGCCCACGGCACAGTTGCAAGCTGGCAGAGGGCAGCGCTGGGCACACAGCACTGGGGCCTCTGCTCTTTGTGACAGTTCCCAGCTGATCCCATTTCTTCAGGGGCAGCAGGGCTTTGAAGACTCCTCTCAGGGCACTGTCCATACGAGGGTCTCCTGTAGGCTGTGGGCAGGCCCAGGAGGGGACCAGAAGTGGGCTGGGGAGCCAGGGGAGCCTGGAAGCCTCTTCCTCCAACTCACCTGAAGGCCTGAAACCCTCCTTTCTAAACCAGTGCAGGCAAAACAATTCAGGCTGTCTGTAGGCTAGGAGGAGGCCAGGAGGCAGCTATGAGGTGGAGTGGGGAGAGTCCTGATGGGAGGCAGGCGGGGTGGGAAGTGAGGGAGAGAAGGCAAGAGGGGGGATCCCATTTGGAAAGAAGGCACAGGCTTTGAACTTGCAGATCTCTCCAACTGAGCCGGAATCCACACAAATGCAGCCCCAGCTGGGTGCCTAGGGTTCTGTGAATAAATGTGATGGGGCGAGTGAGATGACAGCTTCCCAACCTTAATGCATTCACCCCAAGGTGCTGCCAGGCACCTGCTCCATAATTAACCAGGCTCTCCCCTCTGTACCCCTTCCTGCCCCTGGGGTTGCTGAGACAGTGCCATAATTATCCCCTGAGGCTCTAAGAAGCCCTCTGGAAGGAGTCTGCCCTTGGCTCCTTCCCTTCCTCCATCCTTGCCACTCTGGGTAGGGGGACAGCCATCCCTGGCTGCCAGGGGTTGGGGGCATCCCATTTCCAGGGGCCATCGCAGTATCCGATCCTGCCCACCATCATCCATACAACATCTGTTCTCCCCCTACAGGAGACTCAGTGAGGCAGCGACGGAGGAAGGGGCATCGCAGGGTACTCAAAGGGACATTTTCCACCAGCAGATCAACCATCTATATCATGATATCTGATGGCACGATCTATTGTGTCCGTGGGTTGAAAATCACTGCAGTGCTGAAAACCGACGGGGCCACTCAGCACCTAGAAAACATTGAGAATGTCTTTCCAACAATTGTGTGATTAATACTAATAACAGCAATAATAATATCATTTATTCTAGATGAAAAAGCAAGAGAAAGTGTCTGTCTGGCTTATTATTTAGTCTCAAAATGTGTCCCTGTGTGTTGCACGTACCAGGCATTCAATACATTCAATACAAGGGAGATCATGGCTTTGTCACATGCTTTTCATGATATGTAAACAGGCAAAACAATTCAGGCTGTCTGTAGGCTAGGAGGAGGCCAGGAGGCAGCTATGAGGTGGAGTGGGGAGAGTCCTGATGGGAGGCAGGCGGGGTGGGAAGTGAGGGAGAGAAGGCAAGAGGGGGGATCCCATTTGGAAAGAAGGCACAGGCTTTGAACTTGCAGATCTCTCCAACTGAGCCGGAATCCACACAAATGCAGCCCCAGCTGGGTGCCTAGGGTTCTGTGAATAAATGTGATGGGGCGAGTGAGATGACAGCTTCCCAACCTTAATGCATTCACCCCAAGGTGCTGCCAGGCACCTGCTCCATAATTAACCAGGCTCTCCCCTCTGTACCCCTTCCTGCCCCTGGGGTTGCTGAGACAGTGCCATAATTATCCCCTGAGGCTCTAAGAAGCCCTCTGGAAGGAGTCTGCCCTTGGCTCCTTCCCCTCCTCCATCCTTGCCACTCTGGGTAGGGGGACAGCCATCCCTGGCTGCCAGGGGTTGGGGGCATCCCATTTCCAGGGGCCATCGCAGTATCCGATCCTGCCCACCATCATCCATACAACATCTGTTCTCCCCCTACAGGAGACTCAGTGAGGCAGCGACGGAGGAAGGGGCATCGCAGGGTACTCAAAGGGACATTTTCCACCAGCAGATCAACCATCTATATCATGATGTCTGATGGCACGATCTATTGTGTCCGTGGGTTGAAAATCACTGCAGTGCTGAAAACCGACGGGGCCACTCAGCACCTAGAAAACATTGAGAATGTCTTTCCAACAATTGTGTGATTAATACTAATAACAGCAATAATAATATCATTTATTCTAGATGAAAAAGCAAGAGAAAGTGTCTGTCTGGCTTATTATTTAGTCTCAAAATGTGTCCCTGTGTGTTGCACGTACCAGGCATTCAATACATTCAATACAAGGGAGATCATGGCTTTGTCACATGCTTTTCATGATATGTAAATACTATCATCTTTATATTAAAGTGAAGATAACTGAGGCATGGAGAGGCTGAGCAACTGGCCTAATGCCACACAAGAACAAAGTCAGGCTGAACCCAGACCTATGGTGGCAGGACGGTGGCCCTGCTGCTTTGCCACGCTGCCAGGTCACTTCACTGCATGAAGCACTTAAAATTCTAAAACCCCGAAAAGTGGGTTTCCTATTCTTTCTACCTGTAATGTCCTGTTTGACTTGCTGAGCTTAAAGACTCAGCCCATTAATTTATGAATCTTTTATTTCACTGCTTGAGCTTAAAGACTCAGCCCATTAATTTATGAATCTTTTATTAGTGTGAATTATTTTCTTTAACTCTGTATCACGACTGCATTTCACAAGTACCTAGCACATGGTAGATATTTGATAAATATTTGTTTATCAAATAAATCAATTCGATGGTAAATATTCGATAAACACTTTGTCTAATATTAATTTAATTTGTTTTACAGAGGACACTCCTGAGATTCCAGAGATGGAACTCTCTCACTAGAGGCTATACAGCCAGGAAATATAAGAACCACGATTTGAATTAGAGCTTGCCTGAGTTCAGGGACCTTTCCAATAACCCATGTACCACTGAGCTCTGAAGACATCATTTCACACCATGTTAACAAGTAAAGTTCTATAATTGTGTGACAGTATCTTAATATATACTACCAACTAATAATCATAAACTTGAGTTATTTCAGTTTTTATTGTAATGAAAGTAATGTGAACTTACTATAGATTATTAGAAGAGAACAAAGAGAAAAGAAATTAAATCAATAATCTCCAAACATTTTAAATGAATATTTTCTGCCAATATATTTATGCACTTTGACATAACTTAGATTATAGTTTTTATATTCTAGGCTTTTTAACTTACTATTATAATATAAGCATTTCCCTGCTTACTTCAAGAATTTCAATAACTTCCATATTTACCATTTAAGAGACTTAAAATTATCATTTTATATGCTCAATAATCATTTTTAATGACTAAAAAAAATCATTGTATGGAGCACAGACTATCAATTATACATTCTGTACAATCCTAGATAATTTTTCACTATTAGAAATAACAGGTGAATTTTTTTTTCTGAATTTCAGAACACTTTGTAGAGTAGTTTTCTAGGAGACAAACCACCAAGCCAACGGATATGAACACTTTCAAAGCTCTTGACATAGATTGCAAATTGCTTTCCAAATGAGTTGTGCTAATTTTTTCCTCCACTAACAGTGATTTGGGTTTTACCATCATTTTAAATTTGATAATTTCTTTCAAATGCACACACAAAACCATCATGTTTTGAATTGTACTAGGCAAACAGTGTTAGAGATGGAAGACTCCCTCCATCGTGCATACATCAGGAAACTGAGGTCTGCCCAGTTCAACGGCCTGCCCAGGGTCACGGTCACTCAGCGGGTGAACTGGGCTGGGGCCAGGTCCGCCACCCACTCTCCCCGACTGTCTCCCAGGGACCTAAAAACCATTTGGCAAATCTATTTATCTGTGCAACAGCAGTGTTGCACGGCTGCCATCACTTGACATCTTAATTTTGATGATACCAAGGGAAGCAGCTTTTGGAATATCTGGACCCGGCAAGTAACGAATTCCCTTCTATGGTGAGGAAAGGGTATTTCCTGATAACCCTCTTCTACCTGCCAGGGTTCTGTGGGGAGCCTTGTATCTACTTATCACTTCCTCCTCTTGGCTCCGGCTTCTGGAACTCTGTGAGGCCTGCTTGACATGCACCTTGGCAGCTCTCACCGATCCTTCCCGGGGGCCTCTCTCTCTCCTGTCCCCGCTCAGCACGATGGCAACCGACCTCGTTTCCAACCTCAGGCCAAGCGCTAGTGCTGCTCCTGCCCATCTGCCACATTGGCCAAGTCTCCCTGATTGCTAAGTGATTCCAGGCTCTTCCCAGGAAGGCTGAGCGAGCTGCAAGCTGAGCCTAAGCCTCTCCTCCTGGGCTCTGCCTTATTCTCAGAGGGGCTCCAGTGAAGTCTGCAGATGCACCTCCTTCACCAGGACCCAGACAGCCCATCAATCGCCCCCTAAATGTGGCGCCTGTTTCATGCCACGAGAAACAGAAGGTACTCCCCACCAAAGTCTCCCAGATGACCTCCCAACACCCAGCCTCTTCCTCCAACTCAAGTTACATACCACTGCCATGCAGAGTGGTCCACAATATACTCAGCTTACTTCTCTGCTCAGAAACCTTTCTATGACCACCAGTGGAAAGAGACTGGCTTAGCTTTCAAGTCCTTCCTTATAACACCTGCCATCTACCAGTCAGTCAAGTTCTTCGTATACCAGCCTGGCTAGGAAAGGCTGACCACGCAAGGGGAGTAGCAGAAGGTGGCAAGTGAGCTATGGGTAGAGTGGAGATATGATTGAGGCTGCGTGTAGGAATAAAGCATGCGCTGGGCTGGTCAGGGGGTTGCCCTGTCTACTCTGCTAAAATGTTCTTTCCTACTTTCTTTCTGATAGACCACTCATCCTACATAACCTATTCATAAGCCATCTTTGAAGTCTTTTACAACCTGCCTTGAGAATATAATTACTGCCTGGAGAATTCCATGAACAGAGGAGCCTGGTGGGCTACGGTCCATGGGGTTGCAAAGAGCCAGACATGACTGAGTGACTAACATGCTTGCCTCCAAACTTTAATATCTTTCTCGCTAGTCCTAAGACACTTGGCCCACACATCTGCTATGCAATTTTTCACATGAATTGATGTATTTTTTAAAATGTCTGACTTCCCCACAACTAAATATCCATGCTATTTTTCAAAGGAGGCTGTGTCTATTCATCTTTTTTATCCTAATTACCTAATTCTTCTCTTAGTACTTGATCAAAGTATCTCTAGCAATAATGAATACAATGTGTAAGACAGAATCATGGCTGGATGGAATGAACACATAAATGAATGAATCATGAACATATAAGTGGAAAAGATTTAACTGTACTACCTGAGATGGGCACACATGCACATATTTGTAACACAAATTGGCACCTTTAAAATCAGGACATGGGCATGCAATCATCTGATTGGGAGTTTTGTGCCACAAAAACATGGTAAATTACCAACAAATATTGATCAATAAATGAGCTGGATAGTTTCCCGCAGAAGAGCCCCAGGACTATAATTGTAAAGCTTAAGCTCTGTGGTTAGAATAATCCACGTACTCTTGGCTAGCCAGAAGCAGTTCTACACTTTTTTCCCATATATCACAAGCCATGTTGGTCACTGCTAGCACATATGACATCCCCCTAACCAGTCTCATATCCATGAAGCAGAGGAAGGCTGGGGTGTACAGCTAAACCATTTAGTAGCCAAGAGGAAATTTGAAGTTTAAGATTCCACACATCCCTTGATCACTAAATAATACGCCAGCACTAAAAATACCCATGGAAGAATTACATCTGACTGGGCATTTGAAGGGACTTCCTGGGTAGCTTAAATGGTAAAGAATCTCCCCGCACCAGGAGATCTGTGTTCGATCCCTGGGTCAGGAAGATCCCCTGGAGGAGGGCATGGCAACCCACTCCAGTATTCTTGCCTGGAGAATCCCATGGACGGAGGAGCCTGGCGGGCTACAGTCCATGGGGTCGCAAAGAGTCGGACATGACTGAGCGACTAAACAACAAGGTATCCAGCTCGCTGACTTAACCACAACGTCCCTTCCAGCAGAGCAGGTGACGCTGCTTGAATGAATGAGCATATGGAGATGAGGCTGGACCCTTGCCCGGGATAGTCCCAGCCACACAGAGGAGACGGATACTACACACACACCCGTGACAGAGCCGACGTAAGTCCACAACGGGGTGTGAGACAAGGGGTCCAGAGATGGATTAACTGAATATGACTCCAGGAGAAGGCTGGCTGTGGAGAGCAAGGATCTTTAGTCTAAGTGGGGGAGAAAAAATAAACTCTTTTATGTAGAAACTTATGGTCAATAGATGCCTCCTTGCCCAAGTAATCTCCACATGTTCACTGTTGCCCTTTCATGTAACAAAGTAACTTCGTGTTCCTGGTGAGGCAACAGCAGGAAGCTGAACACTGTGTTCCCGAGTTTACAGAAGGGACAATTCATCACTCCGCTCCAGACAGTCTCTTCTGCTAGCTTGCTGCGTCAGCATCCTTTTGTGTCAGCATCCTTTCCTAGGAACAAACGTGACATTCTCCCCGAGGAAGCCCTATCTCTGGGGTGAATGCTAAGGAGCCCCAGAACAATTTTTATTTTTGGCCTCAACCTTCATGGGTCTGTCTACTGCACTCAACTAGAGAGCATACGGAGCCTGGGTTAGAGGGGAAATGTGAAGGAAGAGGCCAGGAAACAATAGAACTTGAGGGTGTTCAGGCCGGAAGTGGTCCAGGTGGATGAGGACTTTCCAGGAAAAGGAAAGCAGAAAGACCTCCCCTGGTTGTCTACCTAGACAGTGTATTAAAAAGCAGAGACATTACTTTGCCAACAAAGGTCCATCTAGTCAAAGCTATGATTTTCCCAGTGGTCATGTATGGATGTGAGAGTTGAACCTTAAAGAAAGCCGAGCACCGAAGAATTGATGCTTTTGAACTGTGGCGTTGGAGAAGACTCTTGAGAGTCCCTTGGACTGCAAGGAGATCCAACGAGTCCACCCTAAAGGAAATCAGTCCTGGGTGTTCATTGGAAGGACTGATGCTGAAGCTGAAACTCCAATCCTTTGGCCACCTGATGCGAAGAGCTGACTCATTTGAAAAGACCCTGATGCTGGGAGG